GCTCCCACAGCTGAAAGAGCGAGCATGTTTGATGGGACGGAGATTCGAACCCGCGACCCTCAGATTACGAGTCGAGCGTCCTAACCACCTGGCCATGCCAGGCCAATTTCGAAAGAGTCAAGAGGATCTTCACCAGGAATGGAGGTTCAGATTTTATCCTTTCTGCCCTCTGATCTGCGTAAAGGGCAACACTGTTTTGGAGATTAATGTGACAATCTATATAATAAGAACTATAAAAGTCAACATTGTAAATCCTGAATAGCTGTATTGTAGAAAAAATGCATTGGTATTGACATGAAAAGAACCGTCGAAAACAATAATTTAATAAGTTCAGGTTTTTAAAATATTCAAATCTAAGCTCCCATATGCGGGACAACTGACTTTTATGGGCTTTAAGGACTGGATCCAAAGGATTACAGAGAAATTGACATGAAAATATAAAAGGTCACTCAAAATAAATATCTAAGGTTTTATTTAATGAGGAATCAAAAAGTTTCGGGTCTCTCATAAATGGTTGTATGGATTGACCTGAAAAATGACAAAAGCATGTACATAGTTGTTCGAAAGAGCGGATTTACTTGTAATATATAGAACAGTCTGAAGTGATAGTAGACACCCTGTTGTAAACTTTCCATTCAAAACTGATGAACATACTGATATTGAAATGTATAGAGCAAACCAGAATCTTCATACAAGTCCATTACTAAGAACTCTGATATATATACATATAATAGAAGCCAACTGCCTTCTCAAGCACTTTTCTGAATTGTATACAACATTTCAACTCTGAAGAAGTACATCGATATAATTGTTATAAACAAGACTTCAAATCGCCCCTGCTGGGTCAGCGATATGTTTATGATAACCCATTGTGTGGCTTTGAGCTAAAACAAACAAACAAACTCACAAACTCTTCAAATCAGTAAGTTTCAATGAACCAAGATTGTCGTAAGATGACCGTTGAGTTATAGTAAAACCATAATTTTCTTTTCAAAGACAAAACAAATTGGATAAAAGGAGAACAAAGTGGGAATCGAACTTTTGTCCTTATTAAGTGATCAGATTCTCTAATCAACTAAGTTATCAGATCTGAAATGGCTAGCTGCAGAACAGTGCATGACTGGTCCATCGTCGGCTTCTTAATTCTTCCGTTAATATTCTGAGAAAACCAATGAAACTAACTTTTGAAGCTTACAGCATATAAGATCTGAAAACTCGTGTAACTTTTGCCGAATTATGTTGAACAAAATGTACTCAATTAATTGAAATTCTTTCACATAAACTTACTATTCTTCTTTCGTCACATTCAGGTTTCATTCCCATACACATTTCCTTCTCTGAAAGGTCCAAGTAGCAAACTTTTCTAGCTTTAGACTGAAGATACTTCCTTCTTCGTGTACGGAAGCCTTTGCCACAGGTGACGCTGCAGTCAGACCACTCTTTCCAAGGTGTTGTCTCACAGCTGACGCTTCTAGAAAAAAAAAGAAAAAAGAACACACTTTTAAGCTGACAAATAAGATTTTTCATATACAAGTAACATTGGATTCTATCTTTCAGTTGGTAAGCATTCGCTGAATAAATTAATGGAAATCTTAGATATTCCTATTATTTCGTAACAAAAGATTTCTTAGAATAGCATGTAAGTCAGCAATAAAAAGAGCTATTTCTGTTTTTCTTTATGAAAGCTGCATAAAAGTGACATGAATGAACTTTAGAGAAAGATAATTTGGAACTTTAATAATTATATAGTTTTTTGAGAGACGATAGTCCATCGAAATAAACGATGGGCAAAAAAAAAGTTTCATTCGTTTCATTTTATTAGTACATCACACGACATTTGTTTCGAATAATTCAACACAAAAAAAAACGTATTAAATCAATTCTAAATCATTTAATATACCAGTAGTTTAAAATGTTCGGACATTTTAACTTAACTTGCTTCTGTTCTCCTGCCATCGAAGTTCTTGAAACTTGTCCATTTAAGCTGCCCTAAAACTCTTAACTAAATTAAGTTAATAAACCATCTTCTTCCGTGGCGTAAGCTCATAAACTTTGCTTCGTTAAGTTGAAAATCTTTCCAGTTTCTTCTACTACGGAAATTCACGAAGTTGCCGAGTTCTCTTAACGCTTAATCGTAAACCTTGTTCAAATGTTTTACCACGTGAATTCGCAAACTTACTAAATCTCTTTCGACACGAATTCGTAAACCTCGCTCAGATATTCTGCCGCATACAATTTCTATTTTAATGTAAGTTCGTGAATTCTTATAAAATTCTCCTGCTATGAGAACTCACAAGCTTGTTAAGTTCTCCTGCCATACGATCTCGTAAATCTTTAATTAGAAATATATTTATAAAGTATTTCCAAGCCGTTTGAGAAATCGGAAACAATACGCCTAGCAAAGTGCGTTTTTTGTACATGGACTTCACGGAAGAAGTTAGTCACTATATATATATATATTTGTGTGTGTGTGTGTGTGTGTGTGTGTGTGTGTGTGTGATAAAGAGTAATAGTAATTACTCAATTTGTCCCTACCCTTCACAATAGACATCACAGAGTTCCTTCTCTTCTAGCTGGTTTAGACATTGCATCATGTTTGCCTTTTGTTCATTCAAATACTTTCTTGTTCGCATCCGAATCCCCTGACCACATGACACGCTGCAAGCAGAAAACTCGGTCCACTCTGACAGAGCACATTCAGCTAGAATAAAATGCATACATCAAAATAAATCTTAACACTTTATATTAACAGTGAAAAACATACAATAGGTATACGATAATGTCCCAAAACTAAAACT